CGCCAAGGCAGATGCCAAGGCACTGATCCGTGTTGAACATCCAGGTCCTCAGGCACCATTTTCCCCATCTTGGATTGCCGGGCCCGCAGGGCGTGATCCAGCTCTACGACTTGCAAGGGGTACGTTATGGTGGGGGTTAAGCTGATGGCGTTACGGCCGTAGGGACAAACCAGCGGCGCAAAGCCTCACGGCGACAGCGAGGTCTTGGGCAACGAGCAAACTCCTTTACAAACCAGCTACATGCTACTTCTCGCAGCCCCATCATCTTCACCGGGGCGTCTTGTCTTGATGTGGTGCCGGAGTGGCCCCAGTGTGGGGCCAGCACCACACATGGCCTCTCCCCAGACCTGCACCCCCCTTTTAGACCTGGGGGGAGAAGCCACCTTGCTCTGGGGGCTCACCCCACCACCAGCATCTGTGCCGGCGAGCTTCAGGCAGGGCTGGCCTGGCCCCGGGGTAGGCGGTGGCATGTGGACCACTGCTGCACGTATGAAGCGAGCAGTTTATGTTCACGGCACAGAGAAAGGAAGGGAGAGGCTTTAAAAGAACCAAAAAAAAAAAAAAAACCAAAAAAAAAAAACAACACACAACCTCATAGCAGCTTGAAATTTCCAGACCCCCTGACTTCTTCTGATCTGGGTTAGCGGCATTTCGAGGATTAACGAGAAAGCCAGGAAAAATCAGAGCCAAAGCTTCCCCCTCCAAGCGGGCGAGCGGTTGCCTGACGGGTAGAGGAGGCAGGGGAGACGGCCGAGGCCGGCGGGGGCTGCAGCTGATTGAAGGCACGAGCACTCGCCCGGCTCCGGGAGCTGAGCACGCAGGAGCCTGGCCGGGATCCAGCCGTGTACTGGGGCAGCCAGCTTGGGGAGACGTACAGTAATGGTGATAAATGAGCCTAAAGCTTCATCTCCCATGGCAGGAGACTGACGGCTTCAAAAAGAATAGGGGGGGAAGGAAGGAGATTTGCCGGTAAATTGAAAGAAAGCAACACCAGCTTGTAGGACCTCTGCCGCTGCGCTCCAAAAAGAGCCTGGGCAACCTGGGCTGAAAATCTTCATCAGAGGCCTTAGAGGTGGAAATGACACGGGAGGCAGGTTGGCAGCCTGTGTTTTCTTTACCTGGCTGGTTGGCTCGCCCAGCTGCCAGGGTGCTTGCCTTTTATCCGGAGGGAGCCAGACGTGGGCAGAAGCAGTGAGCACCCCACGCCTTTGCGCCCACCACAAATGTACAGTGGCCGGGGCCCTGCCAAACTCCGATGCTCCTGGCTTAGGCTATCCTGCTTTGCCCACTGCAATCTTTCCGACGCCTTTCCAGCCCCTGCTCTGCTAACTCCTTCCAGTCCATTTTCTCCTCTATGTTCTCTGACCTTCTCTCCCTCTCTTTCATGGTGTCCATCAGCCCACCGTAGCCTTTGAACAGGGAGAGGGGGCAGAAGGACTGACACCTCCATGGAAGCTCATCATGGGGCTGTGCTCCCTTGATCTCTGGTCAAAATGCAGGCTCAGACTTTCAAAGCTGCCTGAAAAAGACGTGGGTGCCCAGTTGTTCTTTTACTTCATTCCTGCAAGCCAGCAGAAGGGGCTCAACACTTCACAACAGTAGCTTTGAGATCCAAAAATGTCTTCTCTCCAAGGAATCATCTGGCATTGGGCAAATGAAACAACCCCTCTGCTGGGTCTGAGCTTTTTAGTCCCCAAACTGAAAGCACCTTCTCAGCATTAGAGTGTTCCTTTAAAGGCTGTCCTAGATATTTCTGTTAGAGGGCTGCTTCAGATGGCATTTTGTGGTGGAAGCAACAGCCAGGACCACTGTGGGGGTGATGCCCATTTTCCCCAAAGTATCTGACCTCTGGCTTTCAGGCCAGCTCTTTCCAATGCTGCCGCCCTGGATGATGGCAAATGTTGCTCCTGGGCAGTTCATAGCTATGTGCTATTCCAGATGAGTGGGTTGGTGCTGCCATTGGGCAGATGCTGCCCAAACCCAGGGACCTCCCATCACAAAGCACGAATGCATGTGTTAAGTTCCCCTTGTTACCATTATTTTGGTGTTAGATGTGAAATAGCTTGGCAGCTAGAACCCAGGCTGCTATGTGGGCTCTCCAGACTGGAAACAGATTTCCTTTAGGAAGAGTCACGACCCTTCATGTCAGCATTGTCAGTCAGGTGATCCTGCCAGCAGAAAGGCAGCAAATCTCTGGCAGGACCTTGATTACACAGTCAACATTTCCTTGGATGGATCGCTTGTTGACATGCGGTGATTTCTAAAGGGCCTTTCCTGACCCAGGTTAATAGATAAAAGCATCTTCTCAGAGACAACAGATTTCTTCATCCCCTTTCTCTTCCACTTATGCTACAGGAAATGAATTTCAACTAGGATTGCAAAAGTCTAAGCATCCTTACTGCCCCTGCAGTAAAAGTCAACTCGTGAAACAGAAGTGAGGGAATCATATGAGCATCTGTGTCCAAGAACATCTCAGTCTGGACAGACCACTGGATCACAGCATCACAGCCACTGCATAATGTGGGAACTGTAGCCCTACCACATCAAGAACAAAGCTCCAGAGGTTGGGTCCCCGGTCCAGCCGGAGCAGCTGTGGTGTTTTACGAGGTGCATGAGAGAGAAAGGCACTGAAGAAGGCTGAACAAAAAAGCAGCTGGTCAGGAGGTAATGCTGAGCCCTGGCTGGGTTGAGTTCCTACTCACCTCACATTACAGCTTAACTGGCCCTGTCCATGGGGGATCCGGAGCGCATCCCTGAAGGAAGGTGCCTACAATGAACCCTTGAAGGAAATGATCAAGCTTCTTATAACAGTGCTGTGAGAAGGTGAGCATGTCTTTCACATAGTAGCAAAATGGGCTGATCCCCTGGGAAGCCATGGACACCCAAAGATGCCTCTACACCTTCCCTGGAGAACAGTTTGAGCCCCATAACTGTTGACAAGGCCAGCCGGGGGTTACGCTCCCTTTATCGTTGCTCTCTAAAAAGGCATAATCTCTAGAGCTAGAAGAATAATTTTAATATTTCCAAGGTCAGGCTAGCTAGCTGGCATGGGGAGCCTTCAGTGTCAGCCATGGATCATGCCTGACTTTCCTACAATGACTAGTACACAGACAGTCTTGCTTTCTTGTGCCCATCAACACCTATACAGCACTAAATCCTTTAGTAAGGCTGGTGCTTGCTGGGTTGATGGACAACAGGGAGGAGACAGATCAAGAACTCAAGTTTGCTGAACTCAGAAAGAACCCAGAAAGACTTCAGAAGATCCCAAAACCTGACGTCCGAGTCATCAGCTGAGACCTTGCTCCCCCATCAGTACATCAGGAACCCACAGCCTCACCGGTGTCGGCCCCTTCCAGAGCTCTCCATCACCTTCTCCAAGAGCTCGCTTTCTCCAAAACTGGCCTGACCAAAGAACACAACCTCTCACTCTGGCAGCTCCCATCCTTTGCCTGCCAGGGCCTGAAACACCAGAAGGATTTCCAGCAATCCAGCAATTGACTGGCCTGCTTACTGGCTAGTAGCTGCTACTCACTACACGTGCCAAGGGGATTGTACTCATGCTGAGTGTACGCACAGAGCTCCAGATGAGACGGCACACCAGCGCTTACACTTCCAAGGGAAGGCTTTTGCTTTGAATCAGGCCACTCACATAGCAGTTAATTTGCATAATAAGAAAGCAACGAATATCCTGTTTCTGTTAATGACTTTTGGTCACTGTAATAGGATCGTACTCTACCATCAAAGGTGTTGGACAGATTAGGAGGAGTGCTAATAGTGAATATGAAAACACCATCCCAACGTGCACTGCTATGAAAATGTAAGCCACTTTGCATGGTTTTCCTTGACTCATGTCACAGGCAGTTCAGACCCATAGGGAAGTCACACACACACACCGGAGGAGCCTCAGGAACTCCCAGACGGCATCCTTCTGGCCAGCAGTTGCTGCAGCATGACGGACATGACCTAACTTTTGCAAGCTGAGTTGATCTGATTGCACGTCCAGCGCCTGAAATGCCACAGGCACGCAAGCTACTCCGCAGTTTGCAAAGCGGTCCATGTGACTGTAGCCGTAATCATAATTTGCTCAGCTCCCTTTGGCCCAAGAAATGCTCCTAATACTGTGAAAAGCTGTTTACAGAAACCACTTCCTTCATTACGAGGCAAGAAATTTGGCAACTGCTTCCCAGTACACAACAACCCTACCCCAGAGCAAAGTAGAGATGAAGTCTGCATCCAATTAAAACTGCAAGGGGGCATTAAACAATTAGCACATAATTACCTGATTTGGGCTAGCGTCAAGACTCTGGGGAGGACCTGGCCAGTGCCAGGGAATCTTTAGTGACTGTACCCAACGGGGACTTCAGCTGGAGGCCTTGCAGACAAAATCCGCTTTACCCCCCATCATCATGATATTGGCTGAGCGCAGGGCTAGTGAATCACCAGGAATTTTTCCCTGAAGCATCGGGAAAAATCTTCTCCAGCTGAAATGCCAATGCTTGAGATTATATTTAACCAAGATGTGCAGGGGGTAAAATGTTAACCCTAACGAAAGGCAGTTGTTCATTCTTACAAGCCCCAGTGCCATGATCTAGGTTTTCTCACTTTTAGGAAAGGCAGCAGCTCCAGGAATCTTCCAGCATCTTATTACATCTAATTACCTGAGAGTCCACAAACACTTCTGTACATGCTTAATTTTCAGCAACTGACAAGTATGTTGAGGTGCACGGGAAAATTCACATGCCTTAACCTAAGGCACTTAACGTACACGTGCATGCAACAGCAGCTTGCATCTTGTTCCCACTTGCTTTCACTTAAACCAGGGGAATGCCTCTTGTAAAAAAAAAAAAAAAAATCAGAAATCTGCATGACCAGAGCAAACTGCTCTTCCTTGTACCTATCAAATCAGCAATTTGAGACTGTCAGCGTACCATCACCTCTCCTCCCAGCTCGTGTTGGGAGCGGAGGAGGAAGGAAGTGGTGATAACAGATCTGCCGCAGACTTACTTCTTAGACTTGTCCGCTGTGTTCTCGGCCACGTAATATCCAGGCTTGCACTTGTAGCGACAGACCGAGCCCACGTCATGGTTCCCCTGCAGGCACCGCGGGACCAGGAGCTTGGCGTTGGCCACCGCGGGAGGCGCGTCACACTCCAACTTGCAGTAGGCTTCAGGGAGCGACCAGAGACCGTCCTCCAGGCAGGTCAGCCACTGGTTTGTTCCTGACCCCAAAAGAGAAGCAGTGTGTTGGGGTTAGAGCTGACCCGGGAATGGAGTCCAGGTGAGGGAAGCTCAGAGCAACTGGCAAAAATCCTCTGGTTAGAGTGGATACTGATGCCAGGAGAGGCAACAGATGTGAAGACCATAGACTCCATTGCATGGTTGGTCAGGCTGGGGCAGAAATTCCCCAAATGCAGATGGAAGCAGGGAAGAGACGCCTTCTGGGGGATGGAGAAAGGATCTGCAAATTCCACACATCTCCCCAAAACTCTCCCCTCTCTGGTGGTGCTTCAGAATAGCCTTCAGTGGGCTGGGGGCTTCTGTGCATGACAGCTACCTGTCATATTTAAGCTCAGCCCATGTTCATGCTCCCCAGGTGCTTTTTGCAGCTTGTCCTTACCTACCCTTATAAGCTGTCATACCCTGTGCTACACGTGCAGGGCAAGGTGGGAGTTCCAACAGGACAGTCGTGGGACTCTTAACTGGTGTGACTGGGAATTCAAACCACCCGTTACGAAAGGCTTGGGTTGGGTATTACAGCCTGACCCTAGAGAAAAGGGCATTTGGTAGACCCAGCTAATGAGTGGCTGAAACTGCACAGCTCTGGGTGCCTGCAGCAAGCGTCCAGGACTGCATCTACTCCAAGTGGGTGATGACGAGTGGTTCACTGGGAACTGCTGAGCAAGAAAATAAAGCCGTACTGGAGTGAATGGGACTCTTCCTACTGAGGGGTTTGCATCAGCAGGTTCCTGGTGCAGCCAGACTGCTCAACACCCCCTTCGAGCATTGCTTTCTTTTTATGGGATCACTGCTGTGCCTACAACTGCTCTTGGTCCAGGGACAAGACCATGCCTCCGCACAGTGCCTGCGTTCCCAGAGGGCTGGCACTGCTGAGGGTCGCCCCTGCCTCCAAGCTCCATGCAGCCGCCTTATCCTTTCCTTACCTATTCTTACTATTTATTAGCCTTGAGAGCCTGCCCGTGAGGATTCGAGCCTTCGGGGAGAACAAGCATCAGGCACGTCCCTGCACCGATGGGATGGACCTCTGCAAGTTTACCGGCACGGCTTGGCAGCCTTAGCTGAGCACTGCCAGCTGTCGTGTCAGCCATTGGAAGTCACCCAGGGCGCTCACTCAAGGGGACACCTTCCCACCAAGGGAGCCCATGGCAAACATCCCGTTGGCTTCAGCGGGAACGAGAGGCGGCTGTGACTGAAAGATCAGATTAAAGCCCTGCCCTCAGCTGACCCACCCAAGGCAACGGGCATCGATTCGTGCAGAATTGGGGTTGTCGATTCATCGCTCGCACACTACCCTTTGATCAGCTCATGCTGGAGATCTGCCGGCATCCCCCCGTCATGAAATGAGACTTTAATTCCCTGCAGTTTTTGCTCCTTAGGTTTAACTTTTTTAAAAAAGTAAATGATTTTCATACGTTTCAGCTATAAATATCTCCATAAAATAGGGCACCCATTAAAATGATTTGCTGTATGTGATTGTTCAGAGCAAAAGCACTGGTGGAAACTCACATAAAGTCCCAATGCTTGAAGCTGTCAAGGCAATTACCCCCGAAATCCCATCCAGCTCAGCCTTGTATAGACAGGAACAGTAGCTCTTTCTCCGACTTGGCTTAAAAACATTCCTGCGGCTATTGATGGAGTCGGCAGAATGAAAGCCAGGCCATGGCGCGTCTGGGGGACTGCTGTATGTCTGGGTGGTGAACATCTCCCAGACTGCTTTGCAGCTGTGGGCATCAGTCTCTATGGCTTTATACAGCCCCAGGACTCCTGAACCACACACTTTCCCACAGCCACCAGGTACCGAGCCACTTTTGGCTCTCTGAAGTCAAAGACAGACAAAGAGTTTGTCTGCACCGACTGCATGCACATTTCTTGCCTCCCTTGTCCCCATGATGCTGGAGGCTGCCAGACCTCACCAGCTATCAAGAGAAGGCATCCCTACACCCTGAGGTGGATGGATAAGGGCTGCCAGCCAGCCAGTAGCAGTTGGAGGGAATTAACCCCGCACTATGGTGTCCTTGCTCAAGGGCAATGGATGCCCACGATCTTGGGAGGTCTCTCAAGAGCCCACCTGGCTGGGAGTAGCCAGGATAACTGGGAAATCTGAAGTTGCAATGCTCTGTTTGAACAGCTTGGGACAGGCATGAAAAGGTGGCACCAAACAGGGAGAGTTAAATCCCTCAGCGCTCCAGACCATACCTTGAAGCTTGGCTGGGTGGATGCAGAAGAAGGAGCATCTCTGCAGGTAGGTCGTCCCCTTGGGGCAGGAGAACTCTGCATAGTACACGTGGGACTGGTCAGGGACACCGCAGTCAACAGGGTCGCAAGTCACAGATCTGTCCCACTGCCCCAAGCTGCATGTCAGCACCACCTCCTGCTGCAAAGAAAGCAAGGCTCCATCAGACCCCTATCAGTGAGCTTTAGTCTACTGGTTTGCCACCACAGCAGAAAGGGCTCACCAGGGTTTCAGGACAAGGAGAGCTTTCCTCCATTTTTCCTCCCCCAATGTGTCCTTTCTTCCCACTCTGGAGACCGAGTCATGAAGCGCTTACCTGTTCACAGGGTGCTGTTTGGGGTGTGAAAGCAGCGAATGGCCCTTTGGGTGACATGCATGCCACTTGCACAAGAGACCTTCTAATGCTTGGTCTGTAACTGCTTGCCTCCAGACAACGCTAGCTGCATGCATGCTGTCTGAGCAGTGCCAGAGCATATCAAGGGAAAATGGAAAGTCCCTTCAAGATGTAGCTCAGGAAGTTGCGGTGTAAGTTATTCCCATCTCTCTGCACTGCAATTTTCTCCCCTACAAGATCAACCCTTACTTCAGCCACTGACGGGCACCTCTCCTGTTGACAGTTTTTCCCTAAATGCACCGATTCTCTCATGCCTCGGCCCACAGACCCCACTGAAATCAGAGGTTCATATAACCTCATTTACAAACCCTAATTACACAGCCCCTCTTACACAGCTGGGGAACTGCATGAAACCCTCCCCAGTGGTCCCACCACTAAACATGATCAACATGTGCCACAAACTTCATCAAAACAGAGTGGTGGATGACAGTGTGCCATGAGCAACCTGCTCTAGTGAAAGATGTCCCTAGCCATGGCAGTGGGGTTGGACCAGGCAATCTTCTAAAGGTCTCTTTCAACCCAAACTGTTCTATGATTTCCCCTTCCTGACCACTAACCCCAGCCCAACAGTCCTCAGGCAGGGGCTGCAGATCAAAGAGGTGTCTTTCAACCATTCCTGATGTCCCTTCACCAGCTGAGTTACAACCACAGTGCTCATACAGCCAAACGTGTGATCTGTCCTCCCAGCCAACATGTTTTGATTGAACCTGGATGTGGTGGCTCTGAAGAACATCACTAAATTTGAGTCTGGCACTCTCGGGTGCACAGCAGGATCATGGTGCAACTGAACCAGGTGGAGAGGATGCTCAGGGGAGAGCTGTGTGCATTTTCCCAAAATTCCTCAAGATGCGTAGGGTCACACAGCCAAACTAGTGACATCACTTGGGGGCTCAGGGCAGGGCACCTGCAAGCTGCCATCTGCTGTGACAGCCACATGGCAAAGCTCTGCCCAGAAGTTTCCCATCTTGCTGCCAAATACAGGAAAACGGTCACCCGAGGCAGATTTATTTTGTGCAGCTTCATTTCAGGGGAGAACGGGAACATTTTGTTTTCTCTGGGCATGCCTTGGCCCACAGAGCCATGTGGCTGTGTAATTAACAACCTCCCTGGTGACGAGGGGCCGAGCGGTGCATCCCCAGCTGCCCCACAGCACTTCCCAGCGCCCACCTCTCCTTCGGCAAATGCTGATAGCTGCAGCGCGGGAAACCTGCTCGCCGGGCATCACGAGCACTAGCAGCTCTCCAAGGGGATGAGAGGTCCATCCTGCTGACATGGCCTGACTCACCTCCATCTGTCTCCACCCCATGCACGCTCACGCTCTTGCTCAGGCTGGCACGGGGACCTGCTCAGCCCTGAAGACTCCTGTTCCACCTCCAGGAACAGCCGAAGGACGGGACACACTATGGCCACGACACTGCCAAGGTAACTGCCCAGACCTGAGGCAGCTCAGCTCCCAAGGACACATCAGTTCCAGGTCTCTTAGGTCAACAGTTAAGAGCAGTGCTGGCTTGTGGCTTTTGTGAGACATCCCCCAGCCCTCTGGAAAGCAGGACAAACTCTTTCATGGTGACCTCTGTGCTGCCCTGCTGGCATGGACAGTGTTATTGCAACACACCACAAAGAAAGAAAAGCTCTCAGCACCGTTGGCTGCCTCTAAATATAGTTGCTCTGCAATGACTTCATTTTTTCCCGAGCCACTAACTTCAGTTTTAACAGAGAAATTGTCCCAGGGATGTTTAAGCCTCCCAGCAATGCCCATCCAGAGAACAGAAATGTCTACCTCTCCCTCTGCGGGAGTGCATCGCCTCGGCTTGGGGTGTCCCCTGCAGTGGCTGTGCAGTCTGGCAGAGCTGTGGTCTGCAAGCAGCACCGGGCTGGGGCAGCTAGGACTGCAGTGAGGGAGGGAGAGGGGTCCCCAGAGCAGGGCCACCAGCCTCTAGCACAGAGGTCCAGCACCAGAGTCTCCATTGGAATGAGGTTTGTTGGAAGAGCAGTGAGGAGGTCAGCGCTGGAGGAACAAGGTGTCCTGGGGTCACTATAACCAACTTGGGGTGCTTAAACCTTTCTCCACTAGCACTCAGTCCAACAGGCCATAAGGTCACCCCCACCTTGAGGTCCACTCACCTGCGTAGAGCCCAGGCTCTTCCCATTGCTGGAGCGGAGGACAAAGCCCTTTTCACAGGTGACTGTGCACACCATGTGCTTCAGGCCATCAGAGGTGCAGTTGAGGGTGGCCACATGAGCAAGCAGCGGCCGCGTGCAGCTTCCTGATCCCACACAGGCATCGTGGACACAGCTATGGAGAAGAGGGAAAGGGATCAGCAAGCAGGTCCCAGGGCTTCCGCAGCAAGGAGGGGCTCTCTCGGGTGGCACCTGCATGGGATGCTCAGTAGGTCACAGATGCCTACAGAAATGCACACCTATCCCTCAGCCTCAGCCTTTTCAGGCTTGAAGTCTCCTGAAGGTGACGCCAGGAGGGTACTTTTTCCCAGCTCTGCCTTGGCTGGACCTTGGCCCAACCCCAGTCCACACCTTCCCACAGACCATCGTGCCCTTCCAAGCTGGTGAAAGGAGGCATGGCCCAACAACGCCCCTTCCAAAACCCATCCTATCTTGGTGGAGCTACCGCAGCTTCTCTGCCCCAGGGTGCACAGAGCCTGCACCCTGCCTGGCACCGAAGGGGCTGGTGGTGCTCAGTGTAGGTGGACCAAGAGAGAAAGAGAAGGGAGGTGATAGGGAGAGGGCGGTCAGAGAACCTACCCAGCACGGCCACAGCAGGAAAGGTAATACCAGACAGTCCTATCAAGCAGCACTTGTGAACGCATAAGGAGTGAAGCTATAAGCAGCAGTCGTTGTAGCACCTTCCTGAGAGCTACAGCTTCTCCAGCAGCTAGGCGGTCTCTAACCATATGACAATTTCTCATCTCCAATATGCTCAGATCATACCAGACACCAGACAACTTGTGGCAAGAAGCCTCCTGAAGCCATGCTCTGTGGTGCCATAGGGGTACGCTGCTGGACTCAGGCATAATTGCAGCCGCTCGCATGTGTCCTCCCGCACATACTCTGCTTACGCGTGTGTCTCAGACACGAGTGTGTAGAGACAGGCAGTGGACAGCAAGAGAGCTGCACTTCCCAAAGGCAGCAAAGCCCAGACAGTAACATTGGGTGTTTCTCCTTCCTGGTAACTTTTTAAGCTACTCCTCAATTTCAGTCAGCCTTAGTGCAGAATAAGATGAGATTTGCAGCAACAGATGGTCACGAAGGAAAGATGAAAAGGCCTTTTTAAAACCTCTAATGATAGAACGCCAAAAGGTATATCTCAAAGCCTGTATTAGATATCAGAGAATCCACAGAGGAGTCTCCAATTGCAATGAAAGGTTTTGCTGGAGAAGAAACCTCTGCAGATAACGATGGAACCATCCATGAGATGTTCTCCAAGCTACATGCAGTCCTGCCCAGACCTGGCAGCACAGTTGCCCAAGCTTCATGTCCACACAGCTACGCCACAGCCTGTGGTGGAAGGAAGAAGCTGGACATGTTGTAGCTGTCTCCTCCCGACTCTGCTTTGATGGTCTTCAGCACCTCTGCTCTTCCCACAGGCCCACGCGGCCTTTCAAGCCTATGCATGTTGATGCCAGGCTCTTTGGGATCAAGACCATCTCAACACGCACCAGTCCAGCTCTGCAGACTCACTGTGGCCAGCAAGGTAAGATGCAGCTAAAAGGAAGGATTACCCTCCCCTGTGCACCACCTCAAGTTACAAGAGGTCCCAGGAAATCTTGCAATGTGTCACCCATCCCTTGGAAATAAACAGCCCCCTCCTCACTGCAGCAGCTTTCCACTAAGGACCAGTCATTAGGTGCTGATTAATTAAACATCACAAATAATCCCATAGTGAAGAGGAGTGCCAGCCAGAGGGCTACAGTCTCCATCAGTGAAACGTAGCCAGTAGATTAATTACCTGGGATGGAATGAGGCCAAGACATGGGGTTGACACAACAGCTCCCACAGCAAAATGCTCTGATTATCTGGTGGTCAGGCATGATCTTTTACCAGGTGGTAGAGCTGGAAAAACTGACATCAGCCGTCCTGAAGCAGGAGCAGAGGTGCTGCAGCTTC